ACAGACCCCAACCCACCATCATCCTTCTCATCCTCACCCCCCACCTGCTCATCATGCGCCAACACCCCATAACTTTCAACTTGATGCGCTTCCAAAGAATTCCCCACTGAACAACTTCCACTCACATCCACACTCGACAAGGCCCCCGTCGTCGACGCCATACTAATGCTACTCAACGACATCCCACTTCCATCCACGAAACCATCTCCTCCAGAAACAGCACCACTATAATGCTTCTTTGGCAACACAGTATTGGGCGCATCCCTCCTCGTGGACGCCAAACCCCCCACCAGCGACTCTCGCAACACGCCAGTCACCCCACTCGCCCTTCCCAGCGTTGACGTTGTAAAGTCATCATACCGAACACTCCCGATGGTGCTTAGCCCGCCCAACGTCCGGTCATACTCAAAACTCGCTTCTGTGATGGGCGTCATCAAGTCTTTGTGGTGTTGGTGCAGTTTGTAGTAGTGCTGCGCTGTAGGCTGAGAATTGAACTGCACTTCGTGGTTTTTCAAGCTTCTCTTCATAGTCGGAGGGCTCATCGTCTTCAAGGGTCGATGAGGGGTGCTCATCGTCAAGAAAGTGGGGCTGTTGTTGCTGATGAAAGGGAGTGGAATGAAGATTGGGTGCGGCTGCAAGCGCTTTTGAAAGAGTGGCGCTTGATTTTGGTTTAACATTTGCTGCATTTGATGGTGCAGCATGGGTTCTTTCAGATGCATTACGAGATAACAATGATATGCTGGGACTTGCTTGATGGTCTCTAATGTTGCTGCTAGAGATACTATTTTCGTCGTGAAAGAAGGGGCTCTGGACATCCACCACGGGTGTTGTTGGCTTGGGTGGCACAGGTGGGACTTCTTTGACACCCAGTGGTTTGCGTGCTTTTTTAGGAGCTGTGTTGGTTGAACACGAGTTTTCGTCATTGAAAATGGAGACTTTTGGTGCCACAACAGACTCGGAATCATCCACAAATACTGCACTCTTGAGTCCAGACGATTGCGGCTTAATAACCTTGCGAGAGATGGTCTCATCGGCTTCAATTTCATACCATTCTGGTTTATCATCAAGACCATTTTTGACGGCAACAACCTCATCTCCATCATCATCATCATCCTCATCATCCATGTATTCTCTTGCCCCCTGCTTTGACTGATGTTGATCCAACTCTTCAGACGGCAACTTTGCATTAAACATTTCATAAACATCAGCAAGGGCTGCCTTTCGTATTGATTGTTGGCGAAGCAACGGCTTTTGCTTTGCTTACAAATCCGAGATTCATGTCAGATGATTCATGCGCATGATTGTTTCCAACAGTGTTCAAACGCGTCAACCGCTCCAGTTCCCGATCTGCTTCGGCATCCTCATCCTCATCCGAGCTATCAAAGTGATTTGGAGATGATGATTCGACAGTCGAATTTTCCTCTGTATTGCTGTGGAAAGGATTGGCAGGAGATTTGTCTTGGACAGGGGACGATTCGTTGATGCTTTGGTCGTTTTCGGAAACTGGGATTGGTCGAGGAGATGCGGTTTTTCAAATTGGTTTCTGTGGTAGTGGTGGAGGAGGCGGTAGATTTTTCGCCCGGGTTTCTTCAAAAGAGAATTCCCTTTCGTTGTGATAAACACTCAGAAAATCGAATTTGAAACAAAGGCTGTCATCCACGGTCGGAGGACACACCGGGCGGAGTTTTGGAACGCACTGGATACAAAGGAGCGTCATTTTCGCAGTCTCGCTGATTAGAGAGAAGGTTTTTTGTTCGTTGGGAAATGTCTGGACATATGGCATGAGAGGATGAATTCGAAATAATCCAAGTGCACACAGTACCTAAGACTTTGGAATCTGCCAAGATACTCGATATCAACTTCTCGTGACGAGGTGGTAGAAGAGGAGGAGGAGGATTCTGAATCGATATACACGTTCAAGCGAGGTTGGCCACGACTACCAGTGTCATTTTGTGGCATTTTGGTTCCTTTCCATGGTTCCGGTTGAATAGTGTTTTCTTTTAGTTGTGAATCTCTGGTGCCAAAGTCTGACCATGGCTGCCGCGATTCGGCTGCTGGTGCGCTTGAAGAATCATCCTTAAACACAGCCAATTTCGAAGGTGCCGGAATATTGTTTGATTGTGATTTGGGCACCGGTTTCATGGAGCCGTAAGATGAATAGGCTGAAGTTGGCATTGGCGCGGCAGTAGGAGGAGGGGGTGGAACTCTTCTCTGTGGAGCGGGAGCTGTAGATGGAGCAAGCACGGACCTTTGAACGACAATTTCTTCTGCAATGTCCTCCTCTTCTTCCACTCGTTTTTGTGGAATCATCATTCTGTGTTGAAAGCTCTCGTACTTTCTCTTGAGCCGTTCCAATGGTGCAGCATTTCTTGAAATCCCCTTCAAATAAATAGCATCGGCTTCCTTAAATCTACAAATTATTTCATAGAATGCATGAGTTGCTTGGAGTCGAAGTAGTTTTTGGACTCTCACCTTGAACGAATTTCAAGCAGCATTGCGTATTCCTCATAGTAGACGGCGCACGCCAGACCGATCCTGTTTGAGGACAGATACACGAACACGTCTTCTGGTTCGGGTGCGCTTTTAGCCACCTGCAGCCAGATGTTGACGAATCTGACGTCGTTTGCGTATCGCAGGTCCTTGCTGGCGGGGAACCGTTTAGAAGAAAGGCGAAACAAAGAACAAAGAAGAAAGAAAGATAGAAGAAGATAGAAAGAAGAAGATAGAAAGATAGAAGAAGAAGAGAGAAGACAAACCGGAACGCGCGCGCCGCGCGCTCGAGGGCCTTCGCGTGCAGCTTCGGCGGCGGAGCCGGCCAGGCGGAAGCGAACCACGCGAGCAGCGCAACGTGTGCCGCGAGCGGGTCGTCGCTGTCGCCGCAGCGCGCGACGGCGTCGAGCAGCGGCTGCGGCGGCGCCGGCGGCGGCGGCGTTGCTTCTGCGCCTGGTTTTGCCGCAGCGGCGAGCGCGGCCGCCGCGCGCCCGCCGACGCGCGGCTGCATGTTTTCCTTGTGCGGCTCGAGGCGCTCCATCGACAGCGGCTCGGACGCGCTTTGCATTTTCCGTTGATTCTAATTCTTTCTTTATTTTTTATTTTGAATGCCCTACCGCAACACCTTCCCAAAGTGCGCACGCGTGTGTGTGTTGACTACTCCGCCAATGCCAAACGCGGGTAGAATCCGACACATTCGCGCAACACTAGCTGTAACGTAGTCCCGCTTCACAATCCGGACACGCTCACCAAACGACACTCCGCTTCGGTTGTACGCGTCCAATCCAAACAAGTGAATCGGCGTCGAAATAAGCTGAACGGCACAGGGCAGTCCAAGCTGGCAGATGGTATCAGAGAACGCCTTGGATGCGCCAATTTCAGGACCCTGCAAGATCTTGGAAATTATAGGAGGCAGAGTGAAAGACGCTGCCTACTGTGAGAGAGTCGCGAAGACAAAAGAGTCCATAGGATATCTTTGGGAATGGTCGCGGCGAGCCTGTCCCAAACCATCCAGCAAGTTGTTTATCTTTCCAAACGCAGAGAGATATGTTTACAGCCGTCGATGCTATAAACTTGGGCATAATTGGGTCGATCGGTGCATTAAGGCACAGTGATTCTACAGAGTTTGCCTGAATCACTCCTCAATAAGTAATATTCGTATGACTAAGCTATTAATAATAAATACTTACAGTTACATATGTTCCAGAGTATACTAAAAATACTGCCAGGAAGCTCGGCTGTCTTGCAAAAGTCAATGGCTTTGAGGCCAACGTCACGAATCCTTCCTTCAAGCTTTGAGCCATACACATTCGTCCAGATGCATTAGAAATAATGCTTCGATCAATAATAGTGACAACTGTAAAGATTCGTTAAGCAATCCGACATATTCCGCAGCAGCGCAGCGAGAAAAAAAAAAGACCCTGGAATATCACTGGTCTTACTTGGACTAACTGCTAAACTGGTGGCCAGACCCGAAACCAGATCTACAGTCAGAGCAGTCCCAATAGTCGGCCTTTCTGCATGTGAATGCTCAGGTTTTTCCACACTTCCCCTTTGCTGATGTTCAAGACCCAGTTGTTGCATCGGGATGTTCTAAATATAGAGACTCAGAAAACGCATCAACAAAAAAAAAAACTGTTAGGATTGGATTACTCCTGAAAAGCCCAAACTGCTTCAGTGGTTTCTATCCATCCAACTCAACATTATTGCATTTTGATTGAATCTACTAACGCAACGACTGTCTTTGCCAACCACGATTCTTTGATCTGATTCAGAGCATAACACTCGCACAACTTCAAGTCCACAAGGACGGATCAACCAATTGCGTTTGTTTGCTTCGCAGGACTTTGCTGTACCTTCGGAACGGAATTTTGAGGCAGAATTCAGGGAGAGAGATTTTTTTTTTCTTCGAAAGGATTCCGAATTTTTCCGACCAGGCAGTAACCCACTTACTAATTTCCGAATCAAAACCATTCCTTAAAAAATCCTTTACAAAAATCTCTCACTTCGCCTTACAACTTCAAAACTCTACAACGACCTGGTACACTATACGAGTGTTGTTGAGCAAATGTCATTCAACTCCGACCGATCCACAAAACGAAAGGACAGCCAAATATTTACAACCCAACAGTTTTCAATTTATTTCCAAATTTCCATAACCTCAATGACAGTCCGCCAGAACAAGTTTCCAAAAATATACCACGCAGCCTGGTTATTCCGGAGTGGTTAACAAAGGGCGTGTGAATCGGAAAAAAAAAAAAAAAAAAAAAAAAAAAAAAAAAAAAAAAAAGAAAAGAAAAGAAAAGAAAAAAGCCGTATCGTCAAAGACAGAAGATGCTTCAAGTGGCTTTTGAGAATGAAAAAGGCACTGTTACGGATACTAGTCGATTGAGAGCAGTCGAATAATGGTTGGACAAGTTTGGATGGAAGACTCTTGAATAACCACTCGGAGGCACAACAGAGCATCTCCACAATAAGTTGGGGAAAACAGCATGGTGCTGAAAAGCATCAGCACCGGATGGGGGTTGATCCCATGACCTCGGGATTTGCAGTCCTACGCTCTACCACTGAGCTACCAGTGCTGATGTCAATGTTTCTCGATACAGACTATTTTAAAAGGAATAACAAGGGTTACTGCATTTTGGGAGAATTCAAAGCATAGTATCGAGTTCCTTATGCCATTTGCAATTAGCAAAAGCCAAATGCAAAGTCCAAGTATCAACGACATAATTATTCGCAGTATATTGCAAGGTTTTCGGATTTTCATACTTCTCAATTCTTGGAAATCAAAAACTTGTAGTTTAGAAGCGAATTCCAAATAAATAATGTGGGGAATGTGGCAGTCTTTTTCCACAAGATGAATGTGCCTTTTTTATGTCGCCCAATCTGCTGAAACTATGATTTGTAAGAGATTCTCTCGGATCTGCGAATCGTAGAGCGATTTTTTAAGACTTTTGCACTTTTCGCCCAGTTGTTTGTTTCAAAACGCCTCGTTTCAACCACCTTCACTCGTATATCTTATTTTGGCATTCTCTAGCCATCTCTAGCCATCACTAAACAACTTTGTCGAAGCAATTCTTATTCTATTGAATGATAAAAATTTCTTTTGAACTTCATACTGCGGCCGTGCCGACAAAGTGCAAAATTTCCGTTTTTTTCTCGTCTTCATTTTTCGCCAAACAGCCGACAACTGTCGCCAGCCGCTCTTTGCGAAAACCACTCAAGCTCAAACACCAACCCATCCACGCTTCTCTCTGCCAACCAGCTACTTGGAATACACCGCGGACCAAAGCGCCAGCACCAGCACCACTTCAAAATCCAACCAATCAAATGACCCGCAAGAAGCCGTCCAGGGAGTTGTGGAACCGACCCCTACCCTGCATTGCCTGCAAGATTGCCCGTAAAAAGTGCAGTCTCGGCCGAAGCCCTGGCTGCGAGCGATGCCAAGCGGCTAGGCGTATCCTGCGAGTACAACTGCAGTGCTGCTGTCGGTACTGTCCCGAAGCCACAGAAGCAGTCTCAGCGGAAAGCGCCAAAAAGTAATTCCCACTGCCTCGGTCGTTAAAATGGAGCCAGAAGCCGCTTTTGCTGACTTTTTTACGTCTCCATCTCCATCTGTGTCTGAACACACTAGCATTCACTCCTCTCCCGCGCTAACTTCTACCACCAATACGCTCGAATCAAGCCTCAATGTCCCCATCTATTCGAATTGAATATGTTCAACTCGGTATTTCCTGACTATGCTTCATTGGAAACCCCCATGTTTTGGACAGCGGCCCCAACTTTTCAGCAAGAGCTCATGCTAAAACAACCACACCGACAAGCATTCCGCCTTCAACAGCTCTATTACAAGGAATTGATCAATCAATTCCCGATAATGACGACTCAAACTGGTGGATCCAATCAACAGTTCAATAATCTTTTCGCGCGCTTTCTTTTTTCTTTTTCTTTTTTTTTGCGCTCGATTGAAGCGTATTTTTTGTCCTTTAGTTTCCACCTTAATGTAATATCGGAGTTGAAAATATGTCTCATTAAAAAAAAACTTATTTCCCCTCATGACTATACTTGTGTGTGCATGCCAAATGTACGTGTGTCTGACCTCTGCAAAAAGAAAAGGTGTGGCTGATTGCGAAACCGGCAACACGGTGAAAATTTGCTGACTGAAACACCACATACCGCTGACACACCTCCTTGTGATGAGAAAAAATTCATTACTAAAAAAATCGGCACTTGCCGACCGGTTTGACGTCTATTACTGCCTGTTTGTGTCCACATTGTATTCGGAAGTTTGGAATTATTCCGCGTCTCACTCCGCTAGATGAAAGAATTCACCAGTGCTTCTCAATCCCAAGTTTTATGAATTTTTTTACAATTTTTTATTAGAGTGTGGGGTACATGGTATTTTCTTGACATTGAGATGCCATCCATTGAAATGAACGACAAAGATATGGTAACACCTAGAACTCCGCTTATATTGATTGTTAGACTCTTGTGGAATCGCTCTTGTTTGTGTCTGACTTTTTGCTGTGTCTATGCACGTATTTCAGCCGCTTATCGGCACGAGAAAAAAAAAGATCATAAAAAGCAAAGCAAGATCACAGGCGACATTTTTTGCGACAACACCCAGCGACTTATCATTCAACCCTTTGCCCCTCCCCCCGCGTACTGCTTTGCGAAACCAACAAATGACCCGAAAGAGACCATCAAGAGACCTTTGGAAGCGCCCCAACCCATGCGACTGCTGCAAGCTGCGCAGAAAAAAGTGCGATCTCGCACGCCCTGGCTGCGGGCGATGCGTGCGTTTGGGTTCCGCCTGTGTTTACTCGAGTTCAAGCTTGCCTGTTGCCCCGCGCAGAAAATGTAACAAGTTGACTCCGAGTCCATCCGGAAGCAGCGAGGATGAGCAAGAACAAGACCAACAAGACGAAGATGGAGACGCAAGCGTTAAAAAAGATGAATGCCTCGCTGCCGTCAAGATAGAACTCGAACCGCTTCAGGTTAACCAAGTTCAATCCCCGCCTTGTTCCGAACTAGCTCCTTTCGACCACCAACGTGTCTCATCGCCGACCAGCTCTGATTTTACCGCTCTCCCGTACTTGTTTGGCGAAGAACTGCTCTTTTTTCCTCCGGAAACCCTGAATTGCACCGGTCAACTATCGCCAGAAAATTTCATGGATCCGACGTCAAGCTTCCCGTATGAAACCATCCCGATACCTTCACCAACTGTTCTCGATACTCTACTGTTGACTTTTGAGCAGAACCTGCTACAACAGATTGAAAATGACTTTAATTGCTTACACTGGCTGTAAGGCAAATTAAAGGTCTTGTTCTTCATCAGCTGCTTTGTTATGCGTATTATTTCGATCGTTTTTTAATGGTTTTGTTTTTATATATCCCAAGTAATAAAAGTCCTGATTTGTTGTATTTGGTTGAATTTTGGAACCATTTCATTGTGCAACACGTTTTCGGAGAGTGCCGACAAAAGTACAATATATTACTAATAAATAAAATCATTCAGAATGTAAGCACTGCCTTAAAAAAATGCAATTTATTGCCAAACACTGTGTCTAACACCCAAGAACACAGTCAGTCCAGGAAGCGAGGCAACCCGAATTCAGAAGGATCGAAATCCTCCATGGACCTAATAACTTTTGCGCATCGCTTTTCGAGTTCGGGATCAAGTTCCAAATTCACATCTGGGATCCAAACAACCTGATTTTATATCGATGAAATCACGTTTAGAATCGAAAGTCCCATATTGCCGGACCGTACCTGCATTCCGGCATTCAGTCCGGCCAAGACACCACTCGGGGCATCTTCAAATACCAAACACTTTTGGAAATCACTTGGCGTTTCCGCAGTAAATCCCAATGCACGTGCACCTTCCAAAAACAAATCGGGCGCAGGCTTCCCCTTCTTGATATGCGAATCATCTCCACAAGTTACATGTTCTCCAAAGAGATCGAAAAGCTCTCCGTTTTTGCTAGATTTTAGGTTGTACGCTGCTCTGTGAGATGAAGTCGCAACACAGATGGGGATGTTATGGGCTTTCAAATGCTTCACGAGTTTGACGACTCCAGGGAGGGGTTTGCAGTTCGGGAATCTGCTTTCGTGCATTGCATTGCGCTCTTTGAGGTAGTCACTTGCTGTATAGTTTTGAATGTTGTAGTGTTCAATGAGGATATTGGCTGCGTCCAGCTCTTTGGCTCCCATCATGCGACTCTTGACTGTCCATGAAAACGTATGCCCGAATCGTGCAAGGATTTCGTTGGTGACTTCGGAGTAGACTCTTTCAGTATCAAGCAGCAAGCCGTCCATATCTAGGAGTGTAGTGAAGAAAAGGTTTGTGTCCTTCGCAAGTTGTGCGATTGCAGTGGCGTTCACTCACCAAACAGGACATGGGTCACTGGTGTCATGTTCAGGGTTTAAGGACAATTTGAAATAAAAACACGATATATATAGAATACATTTACTACTCAAAGTCACTAAGGCTGTCGGCTTCACTGTCAGAATCCAAATCATCGTCTCCATCGGTATCAGTCCAACCATCCTCGTCCATAAGCAGATCATCAAAATCCACATCTAAATCATCTTCCTCTTCTTCTTCGTCCTCTGCAAACTGGTGCAATAAAGGGAAGTGGTGGTATTGACGAGGGAGGTCACAAGAACCGTTTTCAACAACACTCTGAACGTTCCGTACTCCTTCTCCATTCAGCCTACGAAAAGTTGCAATGATTCTGTCAAACGAAGCCGGATCCATCAAGTGCGTAGTTATATAGGCTTGAAACACGTCCGAACCCCATCCTGCTAGAGTAACTCGTTCATCAGCCATCAATATGGTGACAACTTCGTCATGGCCATTTTCAGCAGCCTTCCAGAGAGCCTCGTTATGTCTCTCTCCGGGTGATATCCTGCCATCTTCTAGTAACCGTTTTACAATCGCTGCGTGACCAGCAGAACAAGCAAAGAACAATGGCGTTCGGGGACCAAGTGCGGGATTCACTCTCGCGTCCTGAAGAAGCAAGTTTACGACTTCAGAATGCCCTAACCGAGCTGCATCCTTCAATGGTCGATTCCCAAGAACACCAGGATCCACTTTGTCATGTTGTAGTAAAAGATGCACCACTGGTGCATGTCCGTTCTCACTCGCATTGCGCAATGCTTCATTGAGGTTTACCGATGGATCTATTCGTGGGTCTTGCAGCAGTCGTTCCACAACCAAAGCGTGGCCATGCCGAGAAGCGAGTTTTATAGCATATCCATCGTTTGCAGACGGATCTACTGTTCCAGCAAAAGATTCTTGAGCAGGAATATTCAACAAGAGTTCAAGGATTTCCATTTCTCCGCTTTCCGCAGCACATTGACAGGCGTAATTGTCGTCGTCGGTGGGATCGCATCTTCCATCTGAAATCAGAAGTCGGACTACTTCGAGGTGACCAGACCGTGCTGCCCATCGGAGTGCTCGATTCTTTTGGATAGATGGGTTGAATTTGTAGTGGTCTGCCAAGAGTGCAGACATGACGCGAAGCGCTCGGGTGGGTTCTAGTCGCCATCTTTTGTACCACATTAGATTCCGGGTCAC